GTTCCTCACCTTCCAAGAATCATTTCTACTGCCATTGCACCGGATGAATGAACAAACCCACCCTGTACAATGAGTACAATGATGCTCTGTTAGCGGAGATCTACTCATGACAAAGGGTTACACCATTACTTCAACATGTCCAGGATGGTACTTGCCTTCAGGAGTGGGTTGGGTTTTTTTATACAACTCTTGATATCTTAATTTTAATTACTTACCCAGTGATAACTGGTTAAGTTGGAGATTCTTCGAATCCGTTATATCGTTCTTCATGTTTATCCCAATCTGTTTCTTCAAACAGAAACTTGGTGTCCAATGAACTAGCTGAAATAAAATTGTGGATGATTTGCTACTAATGTATTTAGATTAGCGGAAAAACAGTAATAAGGATTACTATATTTCAAATAAATTTGTGCTGCCACGGCTCTATTTAAATCCAATTGTTGAAAGCTTTTAGCAATTAGAAATATATACGCTATTCTAATGAAGAAATCCTGAAAAGACAGATACTTTTTAATTTCCTGTGAAATATAAAATTAATCCACTTTCTGATAAACTTTCGTTATTCCACCTGGGCGCTGGATTCTTTAATAATAATAAAAGAAATCCAGTTCCTGTCCATGTGCATAAAACAAGTAAAAATCATGCTACTATCATTACGGTCCCTCTTCCTCACTCTTGTACAATAATCCAGTTTTTGTACAAGCAAACTAATGATGCTAATTCACTTGCTTTTAAACTAAGTGTATCTAGATGGTTTGACCTGAAATATTCCCTTCAAAGACTACATAGTAATTGATTTAATTGAACTCAGTATTCCTTACTTTTCAATGAATCTGAGAATTCCATACATTCTCAGAAGAGCACAAGGATTAGTCATTGTCTGAAAATCCCCAAATTTATATCAGTATCTTTGCATATTTATAAGAACATATATATGTGCACAATTATAAAATCAAGAAAAAACAACAACAAATGACAGGGACACTGTAAAAATAATTATGTTTTAAAATGAAGGGCTCCCTATTGCTTTTTGCCTGACTGTACTCATGAGGACGTACCTCTGTGCAAATTCTTGGATATGATGGAAGGAAGAAAGGAAGCACTTCTGAATGTTTCAGTTATTTAGTGATTTTATATTATCAGCCTTTGCCTTTACTTGTTCTACCTGCTCCTGATTTCATGCATTTATTTAATGCTGCAGTGAAGCAGTTTCCAGTTCATTTCGTATCATGAAAGCAAATCAACACCATAGTATTAATCCACAGACCAATTTACCTGTATTTTTTTTAAAAAGGAAGGATGTTTTCAAAGGAAGTCTCACACTATCAATCTCTTCTCTGGCTTTTCCTCATGAATGAGGAAAAAATTAAAGTGTTTGTTGATGCTGTTTTAGTTTTGGACCATAAAACCTCTCCAAAATGACCCTGAATCTCCATTGTCACTGTTCTTTAGTAAATTCAGCTATCTTCACTGACTTCTGATTTTCTTACAGGGGACTAAAACCCATGCATACTCCCTCCTCTTCCACTTCAGTGAGGACTTTTCAGGGAAGAAAGAACATAAACTTCTTTCGTGCTCTTCTGCATGACAGTTCAGTTTAGAATGGTCTTCATACTGTAGTCCCATTAGGCTAAACACATTATGAATTCTCTTTCCATACTTTAATTCTCCTAATATCACAAGTTTCAGGGAAATCCATTTTTAGTTTGTCATCTAATGACCATTTGTCGTATCAGAAAAAAAACCAAACCACCCACAACAGTACTTGCTACATCAGCCAATAATGACAACATTTTTTCTTTAGCTTCTTTATTTAAAATCAGTTTATATATCAGTTAATTTCAGCCATAAGAAACTGTTCTCTGATAAAATCCCACTACATTGGAATGGTAAACTCTTAACTACTTTTATTTAAGAAAATAATACAACTATGCCCCACAAATTATGACAGAGTTTGAAAAGAAATATCTTTCTCTTTCTTTACTATGTAATGAAGACAATGCCATAAAAGTACATAACAAAGCTACAGAAAATTCAGGAAAAAAATACAGAAAAATAAAAGCTCCCTATGGGTTTTGCCTTAGTGAAAAACTCTTCACTGGAAATAAAACATTAATAAATGGCTTTATACAAATAAATACGTATTTTAATAGGTGAAATGCACCTGAAATATGAATTTTTCCTGTTTCAAAATTTCAAACTATGCAAAAAGTCAAAATGATGGGCTATACTGGTCAAAGGTTGGTTACAAGAGTCTTTATTTTGCAAACTATACAGAAACAGTAAAAAAGAAAATGCATTATACTTTTCAATATTACATAGGATAAACATTAAATTTCGTATTGAATGTGTAGAAATTAATTCAAATAATAAACTGATTTTCCTTTTAATTAACAATGGGAAACCAGTGATCCAATTTTGAAATTATACAACCTGTAATATTACATTATACAGGTCACATCAATTTTATTGTGGGCAGAAAGCAATAGATATGATATGAACAAAGATGGTGGAGTCCCAAAATGTCTACACAATTAATTAACATGCTAACATAAATACAGTGATTAAAGTAATTTTCTCTACAGTCAAATCTTAAGTGCTACTCTACACAATAATTATAATCTAGTCCACATGGTAATTACATAACAATAGGAAAAAAATTAAAATAACCCATTTTCTTCATTCCAGCAGCAGTACCTATACTGGTATTAATTTGGTAATTGGGTGTGCTTAGCTATTGCCTAACATCCTATACTGGTATGCATGCTAAAACCTCTCTATTTCTATTTTGCAAGGCACCTTTACAATACGTTCTCTAAGTTTCTGCACTAGTAACAGAAAACAACATGAATTAAGATAAAGATGCAAAGCTATTTCCTGAATTAAGAAAATAAAACGTATCAGTATACATTTATTAAAAACTACCTCGGGGCAAGTGCCAATACTCTGAAATACAGTCATGTATAAAGGTAATATAATTTTCAGCAAATTTTTTTCCCCCATGTAAAATACTTTACGCTAATCTGATTAGAGAGAAATACAGAGAAACAACAAAGGGTGAAGCAATGTTTGAGTAGATAAAGATAAAGCCTATATGACCTCGACATGAAAGAAAAAAAAATTAAGGAAGGACAAGAAAACTTTAGAATTACAGAATTGGTGCTTCTCCATGCTACTGCTTTTGAAAAATCCTTTCAATAACCTAGCCATTTTCTAATAAAAAAGTAACTACAAATGCAAACACAAAGGAGGACTTTGCTTTATTTTTCCCTCCTGATAATTTTTCTCCCTACCTTTGGTTAATTAAAGGCTGGTGAGATCCTACTCGTGCACCGATGTTTTTCTACTGTAATACATTTTTGATTTATTAAATGGACAATTTGCAAAGCCCGCAGGGCCTAAAACACTGGCAGGACTAAAGTTAACTTACAGTATGTGTTCTGAAGAGGACATGCACAGTTCCAAGTAAGGGCAAATATCTTTTCACCAGAGTTTTAAAGAGACTCTTTACCTTTATAGTGCATTTTGCACATTTATATTTTCAGTAGCACATAACATTTCTTTCTTCAGGCCAGACTTCCAATGTGTTTTCTTCAGCGCAAAGGCATTTAAAAACTCAAAAGCACATAATATAATTATTTTTTATTTAAACAAAAAGTCTATGACTCCAGCTGCAATGTTTGAAATAATCATACAAAATATACATGTTTGTTAGAATCCTTTTGATCTTGGAGAGCAAAGGGATTTTATGAAATGTCATCTTGAGGACTTTAGAAAGGTACAATTCATGGACCCCCTAGTATCATCAAATATATCCATCATGATCATCGTCATCATCAACATCATCATCTCCTTCATCTTCATCATCATCTTCAATTTCATCTTCATCATTCATTATTTCATCTTCTTCATCTTCATCATCTGTCCATTCATGGAAATCGCCAGAGGCAAAATCACCTGAAGTCTCTAAATCAATAGCTAAAAAATGTATGATCGTTATAGAAAAGACACAGAAGATATACCACATATTTATAGTATAATATACATAAGCGTACAAAGGCACACAAGAATATCTAGTTTCAGGACAATTACTTATTTTAAACTACACAGTGTGACACAGAAATAAAACATAATATGCAAATTCTTTTGTCTTAAAAGAAAACCACCTCAATAGGGTTGAATTTCTCAATGTTAACAAAAGACGACAAATTTTATGGATTTGTAGAACTATAATGAGTGCCAGGAACAACTGAAAGAGATTTAAGTCCAACTTACAGATGACAATAAGGACTACCTATAATATACACTGTCTGTTGTTCAATTCTGATATATTATCTTGAACTATCTAGAACTGTCCATTTATCTAGAAAGGATCATGGATTAGATGGTCAATAGGCCTGAGCTTGTATGTCAAGTATTGTGCTAAATTTAGCCTTTGTTTCAGGCTATGTTCTTTTGTTACAAAAGAAGTGGAAAATGAGTAATGTAAGACTTTTCTTTAAAAAAATGAAATTTTTTTTTTGTCATTATTTATATCTGGGACATCAAATAAAGGTGACACGGGAATTCTTGGAAGAAGTTGCACGGTGCTGCAGGGAGCGGAAAAATAAGGGAAGATTTAGTGCGCTAGGAACTTTCGGCAATTCCCTTGAACATAAACTGAAAAAAAAGTCAAATTGAATTCACTAGCATGCTGATTACCCAAAGGGATTTCATCAAGCGTTTTGGGGCTTGTCTAATGCTGCTCTAGATAATTAATTTTCCCTGGGTTTATATACACTATGCCAAGCACATATATGAGGTCTATTAATAGCTGACACAGTGACAAGAGTTGCAAGAAATAAAGAAGTAATAACAATAACAAATTATAATGTTATTTTTTTGTTTCAAAATCCACATAGTTGGGTCCCACATCTGTTCTTACTGAAGAAATTTAATCTGGTTGGTAATCAAAGGGAATAACACCTCTAAACTAAATGCCACAAAAGAGTCTTAACTTACCGCATTCTACCGCACCATTTGCTCTGGATCCTGTTACCTCATTACCATATCTGTCAACACACCAGCACTGCCCTACGCTTCCATGGCACTGACTTGGTTTGTAATACCCATCTTCATCACATAAGGGGATGTACTGCCCTGCGATACATAAATATTGAATAACAATGTTAAAAATCACCTCTTGGCCAACAAAACAATTATAGCCGAAAGTAACTACCTTTTGCTGTCATCATTCCAGACTCTACACTGACTGGTTTACTATTACTAAATTCAGTTAAGGAGAAAGCGACTGAATATATCAAATGTGGGAGGAAAAATAACACCTATCAGTCTTGGACTGATTTCAAGAAATAAAGTGACCAATCTTCCCTTAAATTTTTCATTGATCCTGTGATACACATTCCTTACTCCCTGAATGCCTCAGTCAAGATCTTCGCCGTATTCTGCAGAAAAGACTCAAATGTAGCACCCAACCCTGAATGGGATGTTCTATAATCTGTGGCGTACAAACAAGTCTGAATAACAAGGGTCAGGTTTCCCGGACTAACTATCTGCTACAAGGCTTAGGAGCTATTTTTATTTAATATACATTTTACAATTCATTTAGTTACCTACTAATATTTAATTACCCCACCACGGAAGACAAATGCAGTGTAACACCCCAATTTTATCAACAACAAATGTAAAAAAAGAATGTTAAATTTGCATTTATATGCAAAATACCTAGGCAAATGAAGCTCTAAGCCAAAAGGGCTCCCCACCAAGACTACAAGAGACTCAATCAGGGACATATTTTGTGAGCCAGTGACTTGCCTAAAGTTGAATAATCCACTGTTTTTTATTTGGAATGAATGGAGATTTTTGAAAGAAACGTAAAAGGTAGACAAACCACAATGAACAGAACATTCATACGAAAGCATTCTGAAATGTATAGCTGTTGCTAGAAACCATCCTTAGCAGAAATACAGTTTTGACTACTTTGGGCCAAGCCTTTTATTGCAGCTTTTATACAGTGGCTAACGGTAAAATGAAGATTTTACATTTCAGTAATATTGATACAGTATAAACTGATTCACAAGAAAGATTTCAATTACTTAAAGAATATTACAGGTAAAGGATGAGCAGAGATACTAATTTAGGAGTGCCTTAGACTGTCCCTCTATAACTGTAAAAACGTACCTTCTATTAGGATAATAAAGCAGATGTAATATCTTTTGGTAGGTAAGGTAATAAAACTTAAGTTTAATAGCTTTCAAAAATTTCATAAATTTTGTTGCTGGAATTTACTGCGGTCTATCTTTGTTGGATTAATATTGATTTTATGTTGCTGTTTCACTAGGGTTATTTATGTAAGCAATAAAACCTTCAAAAGAATGATCTATGGCTCACCTAGGAGCTTCTTTCCTCCTTGCTGCTTCTGAATGTTGCTGAGTTCTGTCTGGCAAGGTGGGTCTAAAATGACATAAAAAAAGTTAAACAGATTACACTGTATCTAGGAAAGAAAGCATATGACTAAGTTTTCACAGTTTGCTACGTTCTAAGGTCACTCTAACTATAGATATTAAGAAACATACGCGTCCTGCATTAGTAGTCATGTTCTAAGCTCAGAAATAAAAGAATTACTACACCTTACTACAGCTCCAGAATGATGAATTGGAGCGCCATGATGGATTTGTGCAGAAGGCCACTCCCAGTTAACCCAGCTGTAAGTGAGCACCTAGTCACTAGTCTGGAGGACTGAGGAATGCTAGACCAAAATAGTAACTCTATCACACCCTATTTTATCAGTCTACCGAAATCAGTGTGGCTGTGAAGGTTGCCTCATGTATGGGTTAGAAATGGGATGGCTCTTTTAATTCTTCCCCTTTTGTCCTTGTTAGAAGTCATGTTCAAGTTTTGTATTTGACGTACTACACTAAGAAAATAAGAATTTTCTCCATTGAAGTTTGCAAGATTGTGATTCTATTCCAACAATTTAAGACTGAATCCCATGGGTACAAGGCCCCATTTCAGTAAACTAAGTTAAAAACAGTGGCCAAACTTTAGATGGCTCTAAGAGGCAGAGTAAGTATAAAAATTCAATTTTCTATTCTTCACTTATAGTTTACTCCAGTTCTGAATAATTTAATTTTCTACTGTCTATAAAAGCAAGTCACAGTATGCCACATGAATGGGAAAGAAATAAGACGTGAATGTGTATATATTACAGTTGAATAAGTGAAAGAATCAAAGACAGCAAAGTACTAATCTCTGCACACTGATACTGCGTACTACGTTAGACTATTAGCACAAATGCATTTCTCCTTCTCAATCAGCAGTACTATTGCTGAGTTTACTCACATGTGTCTTTAGCTTATACCGTTCCCAGACAATACATTGTTAACATCTCACTAAAATCTCACATTTTATGAATATCAAATGCATTTTCCATTTTAGCAGACTTGGATTATTTAGAATACATCTTTGCCATACAATTAACTCAAGGCGCCCTTCTGAAATATAGCAAAACTACTTTTTTTCCATGCAAACAGAAAAAAATCTTCTGAGCTAGTTTAAAGATGAGTAAGACTGGCCTAGTTTATTGACGAAGCACATACTTAGACCAGAACCCAGTCACTGTGTAGGGCAATGAGTAGGTAAAAATCACGTGAGTGGCGAGAGTCCAAAGCAGCCTTTCCTGAATTCCTCCTGAAGGAAAACAAGAGTGCTCACCCTTTAGCCAGTTGAGAGCAGCACAGGATGCACAAAGGAGTGCAGGAACAGCAAGAATAGACTATAATATATGGAGATGCCTTTCTTGTGGAAATGCTCAAACTCTGATGACAAATGCCTAGATGAAGTGGGGATCAAAAATATATTTCTGGTGAACATAGAGCCTCTTGGCTGGTATGGCCTAGCTATACCAATAGGCTGTTGGTATTATTCATAAGCTCTTATCTAGTAAGTAGAAAGTGGAAGACAATAATAACCCCTTACTGACAGCAGGCTGTCAATTTCTCTTGGCTTTACATTTGAAATACTATTTACATATCCCATACATTTAAAGAAGCTTATAAATGTTTAGAGTGGCCTTGACTCTGGTGGGCTAGGTTTTCACACTAAATCTATAATGATTCATTTTAGAGCGAAGGCCTTACAAGTAGGCTGTACTTTTAAAATACTGTTCACAGGAGTCTTAGTGTCAGAACAAATTTTCAGGAGATGTCTTTCCAGACAACCAAGTAATTTTCTGTGTGTGCTCTTGAAAACCTCTGCGACTTGACACCATTGGGTGGGTACTGGGTTTTAAGTACTTAGTCTTTGAGTATTTCCTGAGGCTATATAAAGTTTTACACTTCTTGTTGTAAGAAGTGCTTTGATGATGATCATGCTCATTATTATGCCAGAGACGCTCATTACCTTTCAAAACTAAGGCTTCTGTCTTTGCTGATATTTAAAGAGTCAAGTTCTTAACTGTGCAACATTCTGAGGATCAATTATTTCTTAAGCCAAAGGTATTTCCAATTAATTGGTAATCTAAAAAATGAGAGTCATTTATGCACACAAGTAGTACCACAGACTAGAAAGATCTAGGATTGTGGTGGACCTGGCAGTGTTAGGTTAACGGTTGGACTCAATGACCTTACAGGTCCTTTCCGACCTAAATGATTCTATTCTATTTTCCTCTGTCTTTCAAAGAAGATGGGAAATACGCTGAAGGAGAAGAACGAGTCAACTTGGAAAAATACAGGTATTTTGTTCTATGGAAAAAAATCCTAAATAGGAAACACAGAGTTGCACATATGAGCACCAAGATGTGGAAATGTAAAAATACTGGACTATTCCTAGAAGAAAAAAATAATATCTTCATTTACAGCTATAAATCTTTCGTGGTATAATTACAAATAGGAATACCACTAACCAAAAGGTAACAAGTCAATATGAGAAAGTTACTTACCAAAAACTCTCCTCTTCTCAGAAGCTAGGTCTTCAAGATTCACATTTAAGCTTTGCTTCTCAGGATAAAAGCAGCAAAAACTCTTAACAATACTAAATCACTCTGGTGCTTAGAACTGTCAAAGAGAATGGCAGGCTAGAAGTTCAACCAATTCCTTTTGGTCCACAGCATATCCTTTTTCCTCTTTCCCCAAATAACAATGCTTTCCTCTTTATTTTCCAGTTAGGTCCTGAGTTTGGAAAGGCTTTCTTTTAGATTTCTGAACTTACTTCAACTAAAAAAGCAGTGTGACTGGACAACTTTTTGGGAGTCTTGACCCAAGAAGAAAAAATTCCTTTACAAAAATCAGTGTGGTGGCTTTCTTTGAAATAGAAATGAATCTCACATCAGTCTTTCTGATAATCTGAACACAAATAAGAGATCTAATCATTTTCATCCTTAATCCACATGTGGCAGGAATTGTCCTTCTGACAATATCACTGCATTGTTACGAGTGACTTATGAACCACTTAACAGTAGCCATCCACAGTTCTTCAGTGCTCAAAGTACTGATGTACACCAGAGTATCCCATGTTATTAATACTGGCCCTCGAGACACCAATATTCAGTTGTGTCAAGAGGTGCTGCAAGGTTAGTATAATTAAGCTTTGATTTACCAAAAAGAGGCACATTAACAGAACAATGGGAGTAAAACTGGTAGATTTGACGAAGAATCTCTAGGATTTTTAACAGATCTGTCTCAAGGAGCTGCTGCCTAGACAGTGAGCCTCCAGCTTTCACAGATTCTCCTTCTTATTCAATTACAGAACAGTGATTTTCCATCTATCAAGCAGATAATATTTGGCACAGCCCCTAGCTTCTGGTATATAGTCCACTGCAGATTAGGCTGCCATGTTGTACCTTGCCTGTGCTTGAGGGCAAGTATTAGAATTGTTCTTGGACAACTGAGGCTTGAACTTCAGAGATTTGAAGCATCAATACTGCACTTCAAGAAACCTTTCTGGAGACCTCAATTATGTGTTAAGGTACGTTACATCTTCCTTTAGAACCATCTATAAACATATTTGAAGACCTGCAATCTGAAAAGATTGATGTAACAAATATGAATCACGATAATTATCGTTCTTCTGTAAGATGGACTATTTTTAAAATCATAAAGATGTCTTCCAGCCTTGACAGACAGAAGAGCCTGTAAGAAAAAGTCATCTAGAGGAGTGCTGGACTAATAGATCCATGCAGAGGCTTGCAGTAAAGAAATACTTAGGTGCTAAGCATTAATATTCTCAGCAAAACTGGGTACTCTCCTACTCTGAAGCAGTGATGCAACAAAAACAAGGCTGTAATAATGATGAAGTACTGGCAGAAAGAAATTCAACCTATAAAAAGGCCAACACTGCAAGTGCCTCAGCATTTAGATAAGCACTAAAGTGTTAAGCTAGTGTCAAACAACTAAGAAAATAAGTTCTGAAGACAGGCACTGAAGTGTTTGCATGAATTGTAGTTGAAACTAGGGGGCAATAGCGACCAAAGCGTACGGGAAGACTTGCAAAGTGCACTGGCAAAGGGCAGATTTTGAAGTACTGCAGAAATGCATTATAGTGCCTTGGAAGTATCTCAGAAATACTAAACTACACTTAGAGCAGAATAAGATGAAGAAAAAGAAATGCAATAAGCACCACTGAGGGTAAATAAGTGTTTAAGCATTAGTCAAGGCAGGAGAGGTACTACAGGAGGATCTTTTTCTAAGCAAGAAAGATCTGACTTAAGTATTCTTAAGAAGTTGCTTATATTGACTAGAAGTTGTGAGCAATGTGCAGTAAAGGGCTTAGTGTACTGTAACGCATCATGACAGACCTTGAGCAGGAAGAAAGAAGAAGAGTTGCAAGTACTTGTCTGACCCTGAGAGCCTTGAACTGTGAGGCTAGGATCAAAGAGCAAGAAGGCTTCTCAGACAATGACTCAAGCAAACACTATCTAGTTTAAAAAAAGCACAATAGAATTTCTATTGCAGTATGATACATATTGACGACTAAATTTTGTATTCACTTTGAACGTTGTTAATCAACAACAGTGCTGTAAAACTGTAAATCTGCCCAGAAAGCACCTACTAAGCTCAATGAATACAAAGAGCTGTCCACATGGCTTGAAGTATTCTGTTAATATCAACTTATTTCAGTAAACATCAGAAAGAAGCCACTGAATTTCTATACCTAGCCATCTCTTTGCTATTCACAGCAAAGGGCTAGTTAAAGGTGTTACTCAGATTGTTCAATCAAGTAAAACACAACCAAACATGAATATATTACAAGGTTCAGCATAATAATGCAAATTATGAGTTGAGAATTCAGTGGGTCACTAATATACAAGGGAGTTAGGACTCAGATAGTTGTGCAAGAGCTAATAGTAAGATGTGACAAAAGATGACTGTAAGCTTTTTTTTGTCTCCTTACATCTTCAAAAAAGACGACGACTACAGATTTTGTTGACGGTGTTAATTTGGAGGGATGGTGTGCATGTTTAATGTGCAAGTATTGCCAAAATCGAGATTTCGCCTCATTACAGTGTTGAGGATACATCTTTTTTACTATATGCTCAAACACACTGTGGTACCAAAAGCTACCTAATCTGTTTTAAGTCAGCACCTTATCACAACACCATGGTCAAGATGGTGAGGGAACTGGTAAAAAGGGAAGAAAAGCTTGATAATGCAGGATTCTCCAACGGGGAGAATCAGTGTCACTGGAAGACGGATCCCAGCTTTCTGGCCTTCAGGGCAGCATTAATATAATTCAGTGGTGTTTAGATCAGCCTTTACGATACCATCCTTCAGTTCTAGCAGTACACTGAGCACGTATTTTAGACAAACAGTATTCCGCAGTTATAGAATGCAAAACTACTTGAAACTAACCTGTGGAAGTGCTTTCTTAATGCCCTGGTTATGCTGTACATGCATTACATGACATCGGTAGAAGAGCCAATTGGTAGAAGAACCTTGGACCACGCTAGGCCGCGTGTTATCTGCTGTACTTTCTCTGACAATTGAAAAGAATTTTGCTGCCCTCTGAAGAGTAAGGGTGTTTATATATTAAGCTGAAATGATGGCAGTGGTGGTTTTTTTATTTTAAAGATAACCAAACCAAACATGTTACGTTCTTTACTTTAAGAACTACTTTACTTCTGGGATGGGTTACTCTTCATTTACTAATTTTGTTAGCAGTACATACATGCTTATAAAAATAAAAGCCACAATATTGTTCTACCATAAAATAAACAAGGTGTTTTGAAAGATTAAATGTTAACTTTTTAATTACAAAGTTACCAAAGAAAATAAGTCTTCTATTTAATATGTATCTATAGAAGTACAGCTTTATTTTTGTTTGGATTTACAACTGGCAGATGTACCATGATAAAAATCTTTATTTCCACAGAAATCAGAGTCAAACCATAGACACTGAGTGCTAATGGGAATATATCATGAGAGTTTTAAGGGCACAAGTGAGAACTAAAAACTGATATTGAAATTTTCAAAAAAGCTGAACTGACTTTGCAAACTTTCCATCAAATCAGTCTTACCTCTTCTAGTGGCAGTAGAAATTTGGACCCTGGTTGCTATTTATCCCATTGAAAATCTCCCTCATGTTAGTAAGAAAAATGAAGGGGCAATTCTGTCCAGTTTCAGCCAATACTAAATGAGTAAATGCTTTGATTCATTACAACTAGTTTGATTATATAATTTATGTGATGTCTCACGTAGATCTAAAATTGCTATATGATCCTCAGGAAAATAATGCTTATAGGTTATGTTTATTTGTTGAACCAAATCACATCAGGACATTAACAAGAGATTCATCTAGGCAGTAAAAATCTATTTGGTTTAGGTCCTGGAAATAACTTTATCCATAATGTTCATTCAGTTATTTCAATAGGCTCACAAAATAGAACATTAAGATGCCCTACTTTAGCAATAAAAAAGTTTATTTTATAACGTAGGCAAAGTAGATTGGGAAAGAAATAATCTAAGTAATTTTGTTGTTTATTTTGGTCTCTCTCCTCTGCATACTTACTGGAAGTTGGCAAGAGAAACAATATTGCTGTAAAAGCATTAGCCGCTGTTTTGCACTTTATTTAGAATCCTTGAATTTCTAGCAAGCCTTTCCATTTAGCTTGGGTTGTTTGCTTGGTTGTTTTTTTTACTTCATTTTAGCTATTCACAATAGGTCAAAAACCTTCAACAAATTCATGGTACAACATTTAAGAGCTTGCAGTTCACTGTAATCTTCTTAATATGTTAAAAAAAGATAAAGCACTACAAAAAGGTCAGTCATATACATATGCAGGTTGTTCTCATCTTTTACCTTGCTGTCTTTGGAAGCAGTAGCACCACTCATTGTTAGATATCAAGCTGTCCTTGTATGTGTCACAAGAATTGAAGAACGCCCTGGTGCATGGCTCATTCTTGTCAAGGTAAATGCTTCCAAGTTCTGACTGGTCCAACAACAGGTCATAGTTTGTATCAAGCCTGTTAAACATCCAGCCAAGGGAGTCTTTGCAAATTGGCAAAATGCTGGTATCAAATCCTGAAAGGAAAAAATAAAATTAAAAAATCATATAGCAGGAAAGATACGGCAGCTGCTGAGCTCAGCCACCCCAGAAGAATGCTGCATCATGGAAATTACTCCAGTGGTACACAGATGCTATTGAAATACTGCGTGTAAATTACATGTCAGCTTCATTTTAAAGAAATCATTAAATTAATCTGCTAAAAAACTTGATCCCACCATCAGCCTCAAAGCATTTAGAAATACGAGTTTTCTTGTCAAACATTATACCTATAGCACACTCATTTGGTACAGTAATAGATGATCTCCAGCGATTTCCTGGAAAATAATTCTGTTTAGGAATTTTAGTAATATTATAAATCAGGAAAGTGAAGCTTAAGTGGTTTGCAATGTTCACAGAACTAAGAAGGGAATAAATTCCAGGTAACTTGCTGGAGTCCGTTTTTTTCTTCCTATAACATATATTCAATTCTATGACAAAGGAATATGATCCCCAGCCTCAGCAATGCCTTGAAAGTTAAAGAGTATTTTATCTTTACCTGATGTACATTACCTCTTGGAGGAGGCTATGGAACAGATGGATCCTAAGAGCAGCTGGCTGCTAGTATCAGACCCACTAATACAGCTTGCATCTTCCGAAAATTGTTGCTTGGAAAAAAGGCCATCAGGAAGAGGCTGAGTTAATTACTCCTGTAGCCAGAGCTCAGACCTCATGTTTGTTTTTTCTCCATCATCTGTAAAGGGCATGCAGACTTGCATATGGACATGGATGGGGAATTCAGAAACCGCCAGGTCTCTCACCTATGTAGAAGATGTGAGCTGCCTATGGTATACACACACGTTTTTTCCTGTTCACGTGCTACGGGTCATACTACAGGCTTATGGTGCAAGTGGCTAGGCAGCGGAGTATATAGCCTGAGACAGGATGAGATTTAGTGCTACTATATACTATTCTTCTAAAAACTTTTAAGGTAAAACTGAGCACTGAAAAAATGAGTGGTGAAGAAGTTGACATGAAAGCACACAGTAATTCCCAGTTTCTACTGCTGTTAAAAGCAAGCCTGCCTGCCTTAGTTGTTGTTCTGAAAACAATAAAGAAATCTGAAAAGTGTGTCTGTACTGCTAAAACAGGTCCACTTGGATAACCCAGTAATCGGATTTAGAAATCAGTAGATTTTCCCTTAGATAAATACGTATGTGGAAATGTCCATGCTATGGTAGAACGACCATTTCGGAAAGCAAAAGACAGCTGATAGAACCAAAAACTCCCCGTGGAAGTCAGACAACCACACAAACTCCCCTTCCCCAGAAATCCTAAACTATGTCTTTTCATCAGGGCAGTCTCACTTTTTCTTGCTCCCTGTTGATTTGTTGCATTCATTAATATTTCTGCTTGACAGAAAGAAAAGAAAAAAGAAAAAAACAAAGCAAGCCATTTGATAGTTATGATATTTTTGATGTGTTTAACACAATTTAAAAACATAGCCGAGCATTCAAGCAACAGTCTCTCTCTTCCCTCCTCTCCAGCCCCTGATAAAACGTCAAGAAAAAACAATTTATTTTTTTGTGGATTAGGAAGAGACAGGATCCAACTAAACGAATAAGGGTATATAGTAGATGTGTTATTCAACTTTATCTGTAAAAAATATCAAAACGATTTAACACAGGTTTCCAATTTGAAAAATTCTGGAAGGTTTTTCCACCTTAAACTTTTTGTCTAAGGATGAATGTTCAGTATAACATTATTTACCTCTAAGGCTCTGCTCCTGAAGGCCTCTTAACACTTCCCAGATACTTCTCTTTTCTCTGCTAGTCCTGCTTTTAGCTAGAGATCCTCCTCCAGACCCTGGATTCAGAAAGGGGTCAAACCCACTGTTTCCTATCCTGCCTTTTGTGTACCTGCATGAAGGGAGGACTAATTTTTGTGCTGACCAAGTTTTTCTGAATTTGGCATTCTGGCCAGCTCACCAAACTAGGACAAGTTGCAGAAAGAGAGCAACCATGAGGAGACAGATTTAAATGAGTAAGATGCCAGCTAGAAGGAAATATAAGCTAAAAGCCACTTTAAAGGTGTATTCAGGGGTGGATCTTGTGGGCCATTGCAGATAACCGTAGGTAATACATCTGCACGTGGAATTTTAAGCGTAAGTTTATTGAAAGAGGCATCACTTTCAAGCTCGGCACAAAGTACTTTTAAATTAGCATTTTTGGACCATGCTGGAAAAGACCACATCATTAAGCATTCTGTATTTTAGGACACTAGAATCTAGTGTTACGTATTTAACAAACTATTCTAAGGAAAAGGGGAAAAACCCCAAACACCTGCTTATTTTACTTCTCTCATTTCCAATTTTACTCTAAAAAACCCCAAATTTATCTGAAGAATACTGAAAGACCACTGAACATTTCAAAGGTTTGATGCGTCTCTAAATTAAAGTTGGAATGATATTATAGATCTGCAGAAGATTTTATCCCTATTTTTTTCTTGATTCCCTTAACTAGCATTAGCCTGTGAATTGAGTTCATTCTCTATTCCCATTCCTCAATTTTTCTCACTTCTTTCTGTCTATAGCTTTTATATTTTTTAAAAAGTGTGTCTAATAGTGATGTCCCACTGGATTTTTATCTATTACATTTGTCCTAGTTAAGGACAGAATTTGAAATTAAAACATTTGCATTGGAGTCAGCAATATCATTAAAAAATAGATGATTTTATTAGAAATCACTGCTATCAACAGGAAAGCACTAGAAAAATGTCAGTATGTTCTAATATTTTCTAGAAATCCAGTTAAAGTTTGACATAACTATAGTTTAAATATAGAGTCTGAAGACTGATATTTATGATAAACACTTCCTAGTAAACAGAAATATATTATAACTGGCACATCCAAATTAAGAAACCTACTTCAAACAATGACATTACATATAAAAATATTCTTCTGTTATTTCCAAGCCTGAAAAATAAAGTTTACATATATTAAAGCTGTCACAACCTATCTATTAAATCGCATCATATACTGGAGAAAAAGGACTGTGGGTCATGGGGTCTAGCTTTCTACTAAATAACTGTTGCATGTAATAATTTCAAAAATAAATCACGCTTTACCTTAAAAGTAGTTTATCTTTCTTTTTTCAGAGTTTGCTCCTGAAGTAGTTTGTATTTTTACTTACAGCCCAGGTATATTTGTTGTTGCTTTTATTGTTTTTTCAGTTCTTTCTCTTCTCTGGTATTTACAATTTTAGTGTTTTAAATAGAGAAAATCATATCTCTTCTTAGTTTTCATTTGGCTTGTTTCACCAAGCCAAACTCTTTCACGACCATCAGTCACTGCAGCATAGCACAGAAATGTCTGAAATCTGGGTCAAATATTAGTTCAGGTGAAAGAAATAAAAATGGCTAAAGTACTTCAGAGGTAAACCAGGCACATGTTGACAGAGACAGAAGCAGTTTTGTTTGATCTACAATGGAGCAGTCCACCTCCTCCAAAACTGCTACACCACATAAAGATCATCACCTCAGTTCCACGTTCACATTATAAACCCTTAAAAGATTATTGTGGTAAAGTAAAATTCTTGGTTCAATTTTAAAGAAACTTTAAGGAACTGTCCGAAGTGAGGATTATCAGAAGTGCTTTCTCTCTGCCATGACTTTCTTCCTCTGCTATAATATTGATAATACAGCTGTCACTCTTGAAGATGACATACTTGACAAAGAGTCAGGAAAGCACTTAAGTACAGACCTAGCGTTTAACATCTGCTCACATGGTTTGACAAATGAGGGGGTCAGGTGACACAGAACTAAGAAACACAAAATCACCAGGTGACCTAGAACTAGGAAATTAATTGCCCAAATCGCAGACTACATGTATTAGCGCTTTGAGTACCAACTAGAATGCTGTTCTTACACGTTTTTTCACAGTTGTGACACAAAATAAAAAGCAGAAACTAAAGGGGGAAGATTAGTGTAAGTGAAGGATAATAATTTATTCTTGATGATTAAGTACCAGGACATTATACTGAGGATAGCAAAAATTGCTGCTCAGGTGTCTAAATTACAAAAGAAGGTTTTCTCTTTCTCCCATTTTAACCACTTATTTGAAATCTATTTCCATATACCATAATGAAATGAGTTTTTATGTAGCTATATCTGAACATTGTCTAGAAAAATGTCAAGTCCCAGCTTAAGCTCTTTTCCTCAGCCAAAACAATCCCAAGGGAAGTATTATTGAGAAATATACCACCCCCCCTCCATGGCTTACACACTAGCATTCAAAACATTTCCTCAAAAGGAACCAACAGAAATGCTGCTGTGTTTCTGATTATTTCTCAGGGGAGAATTTCAATTCTTAGTAAATATAATCTGCTTTTCAAGGTAAAACTATTGTTTGCCTGCTTATCAAGCTCCTAAGTAATAAAGCCTCATGTACATTGAGGAAGATAGCTTTTGACATTATGTGGAAATCAAAACGGCATACAGACATATGGCTCACATATTGCATTATATAAAAATTGTTTACCTAATATGCCAAGAGAAGTGAACTGCACGATTCTTTCCAATACCAGTACTGACAAATCATACATGTGGATAAACACACACGCACTCTGCTAGAGTCCTGACTGCCATCCAGACCATGGCTTTTACTTGTTCAGCCTGCAAGCTCCATAGCAAGAAGGTTTTCACTTGTGATGGATTTGTCTAATATTTCGACTATCAGAAAACCTTCACTTAACAGCATCTCACAGCCAAGGCCTACCGTGCACAAGCTAGGAACAATTTTTCCTTCCCAATGTAGGTTTATGAGGACAGACCGGAGCAGGAAGGACTAAACTAAAGAGAGGACTAAGCAGACATGAATGCTTTCTATCGTATTTGGTTTCACAATAAATTGCTGATCTAGGTGAGACTCACCTTGGGCTCTCCTAGCCCAAGAAAGAGACAGCATTAGGTATAACATTCTCTGTCACCTGTCTGAAGTTGTAATATATTCCTGCTTACTATGATTACAGAGATAGGAGCG